GACGTGGAAGGGTTTTACGCCTGTCACACAACATGTTATACCCTGACATGACCCATTTCAGCTGGGGGTTTCCACATTTTTATGTGGCTGTCACAGAACCTGTCACATCCTCCTATCTGTTCTCAAGCACTCCACACCGATCCCTAGGAAAGGGGAGACTAACAGCCAAGGGTAGAGCTGTGTCCCCTAATCCCAGAACTCTAGGAGGCTGAGTGAGGAGGATCAAAAGTTCAATTCCTGCTGGGGGCATTTAGCAAAATGTTCTCTACAAATACACACAAAAAAACCCAAAATCAAGCAAGGGCTGTGGATGTAGCTAAGTACGAAGGCCTTGGCGTGAACCCCCAGTTCCGAGGAATAGAAGATCTCTCAGTACTGGGTGCCAAATTTCAACTGGACTTCTGGGACAATGCTGGAGTGGTAAGCAGCTTTCCCTAAGACTTGCTTTCTAGATACTGGAATATAGCAATGAGAAGAACAGGAGGGGAGATGTGGGTCCCCTAGATCCAGGAAGGATCTGGATTAAGAGCCGAAGCCCACAGAGAGAGAGAGAAGAAAGAGACTCAGCCACAGGTGAGCGCATCAGCTGCAGCTTCTCCCTGAGCCAGGCTTCACCGCATGGGAGAATCAGACACAAGGCGGTGCGTGGCCACCCCAGAGGCCTCCAAGCAAGGACGCAGCGGTGCAAGGGGACGTGCACGTGGAGGACTGTGCTGGCTGGCAGTGAGTCCCGCGAGACTCGATGTCCAGGGGACAGGCCAACTGGCAGCGACCCATCTTGGAGAGGGGCCAACAGAGCTGGGACTCAGAATAACTGTGGGTGCATCTGGCAGGTCCCGGCTCAGTTCAAGCCCGCAGAAGGCACCCAGACTGCTGTAGGCTCAGTGGGTCAGGTCTCAGCCTCCTGGCCCCAAACCAGCCTGAAGGTCAGGGAAAATAAAGGGGGAGCGTCGCTGAGATTGTCGGCTTCACCCCCACAAAGCTACTGCTGGGTGCTCGGGTGAATCAACATGGATCTGGACTCTCTCCTGCATTCTCTGCCAGTGACAGCAGAGACAAACCTTGAAGTAGACATTTTTTTTCTCTCTCTCTTTTCTTGTTTGTTTTTTCTCTTCATTGTTTGACTTTGTTTTTATATGAGTATGAATGTGGTTTTTAGGTTTTTTCTGGGTGTTGTTCTGTTCTGTTCTTTCTTTTATTTCTTCCTTAGCCTCTCTCCTTCCTGTCTTCAACACCAGCTTCCCAAAGTCTGCATGATCGATCTCACTTTGTCCCCCGACTTGTTTTGGTTTCTTTCAGCCTTGCTTTTAGCCCCTTCCTCTCTGCTATTTCTCTGTTTCCCTCCTAACCTTTTTAAAACTGTTTTCCCCAAAGGTAAAATTGACATGTTGAGGGATTATTTATCACATAAAATTTCCTGGTTTGTCTTAGATTTAGTTATAGAACCACAACCTAGTTCTTACAGTTACAGGCTGCAAACTAAAGGTTACCACGGTGTAATCTGCTTGGGTGTGCTTGATGCTGTGTTTACTGCTGATCGTACCACTTTAGCCCAAGTGACATCATGTTCTAACCAGTTGCTCTTCCTGGTACAACAAGACTGAGATTGCCTAAAGGTCATAAAAAAAAAAAGCTGAGGGCCCAGGCCAAAGGACCAGGGACTGAGTCAAATAGGCAGCCACTTCTCATCCCCAGTAAACTGAAGATGTAGAATCTTCCAACAGCCTTAAAACCCAAAAACCAGGTACACCTGGAGGATAACTTGGAGTGCTCATTTTCTAAGGGGTTCTAAATACTAGCAATAAAGCAACACATCACAGGCAATGTACAAACAGCATCCCAGAAATTAAATTTTAAAAAGAGCCCCAGCCACATAGCTCAGTGGATTAAAGCACCTGCTTAGGCAGACA